TATGGATGCACTACTAAGATAGGGCAAATTGAATATGATTTTCTTGTTGAGGACATAAAGTTGCAATCCTCGGTACAAGAAATAATTTGCAGACACGATCGGTAGCTTCACAAAAAGAAGAAAAAGACTGCATAAAGCAAAGTTCTCAGCTACACTTGATGCTCCCAAGTTTCAGCTCTATCTTGCCATGCAAACTGAGGTGAAGACAATGTTTCCCAGGGGTTGTGTGGGGCAGTGCCTAAAGGGTACATCCATTCACAGAAATTTAGATTTCTGGCCAGTACATTCATAATGTAAAGAATTACCATATATCTATATATCTATCTATCTATCTTTTTTTATATATTTTCATATATAATATATATATACATAAATATATATATATATATATATATATATATATATATATATATATAATATATATATAATAATATATATACATTATATATATATATATATATATATATATATAATTTATAAATATATATTAAATATATATATAATCTATCTATTATCTATAATATATAATTTATAAATATATATTAATATATCTATATTATATCTATATATATATAATACATAATGATATACGTCATATCCATCCCCTGAATTGACCATCGCATCTTTGGAGGTGATACACTCATCTATATAAGGGTTTTGGCATTATTTCCATCAATAAATGAGTGTGGAATGTACTATCTTTGAGCCATGTCTGGGAAACAGCAGGCACCAGGGACGATGCCATTTTCATACTCAGAATCCTATTCCTTTCCCCCGTAACTGGCACCACAGGTTGTACTATAAAATATTAAATATTAGGAAAAATTAACACAAATAACTGACTATTACGTATTTTAATTTTTATTATTAAGAGTTCTGAACTATCTATCATAGTCTGGATAAAGTAAATTAAATGACATATACAAACATTGTAAAATGGCAAAAATGCTAAATAAACATACAGAAAAAGAGAAACTAACACTGCAAAGTTGAGGCATGGCGTCTTGCCACTGCACACTAATGTTCGTGTATTCCCGGCCTACAAGTCCCACACCTACCAGACTGGCTACTCAAACAAGCATAACACCCATATTATGGGGCATGTGCAGACAGTAAAGAATCCAGATCCAAGGAGTTAAGTGACAAGCTCTAACAAGCCTGGAGCTGATTTATTTTTGTCAAGCAGTTTTCTAAATCGACAAATAACTTGTTTCATCACATAATGAAAAATTACATCAATTAACTAACCAGTTGTATTAATTTTAGCAAAATGATGATGTCATTGCTTAAGCAATGTTTGGCAATATGTTGTTGTTGCCAGGCAGCTTCCTAAAAAGTTTCTCTCTAGAGAGTTCCCAAGAGCTGAGCCTTGATGAAAAATATTACTTATGGAGAAAGCTGGCACTGAGACTGCAAATATGCTTTCCAGTATGCAGAAGCTGTTTTGATTAATTTATGCACCCCAGAGAGGTTATCCATGGTTTATCCTGCCAGATTATTTAGGTTTGTTGGCCACCACAAAAAATGAAGTAAAGAAGCCAAGACATAGCAAAGTAGGCAACAAAGTTTTACCTTGAATATATCTTAAATCTGATAATGATAAATATAAATTTCCACATTAAGAAAAAATCAAGCACACATTAAACAATTTTGGTACAAACCTAAAATGTTTTTTTGTCCAAAAGTACCCCTGGACTAGTTACTAGGGAAGGTAAATACTAATAAGGCACTATGTATAACCACACGCATCTTGAATGTAAAAGCCAAAACTACCACACACTAAAACTTTGATAACGGAAAGCATACAAGATCAAATTTAACCAAAAGTTGCAAGCAGTTCAGTGTCAGTGCCTGTCAACCCTGCAGCAAAGGCCACCAACCCTTAAGCAGGCAAGATAAAGATTTGCTAACCTTAGCCACGGTGCCTATAGATATGTTATAATAATTACCAAATTAACAAAGAATCAATGAAGATACTGCAAAGGTTGCACATATTTCTCTTACTAATCTTATTGCACATATTTCTCACTACTGTCAGGTAATAACCTAATCAAATGTTCACACTCCAAGACTTACATTACTGTCATTCACATGCAAATATATGGTGACCCTACTGGAACTTCAATCAAATCAACACTTCTGTTACTCACAACACATTGATCATAATTCATATTGATAAGACAAATATTTAAAATTCTTTCTCCCATTCCGTATGGTTATCCTCAAATGTCACTCGTCCAAATTAATAAAAAACAATAATCAATCATCGGAGGCCAGCAGCTGATATTAAATATGCAAGACTAGAACAACAACAAAAAAAGATCTTTAAACTATCAAATTTCATCGTTATAAACCCCTTATAATATAATTCCAAACAATGTCAACGACAAAGACAGTAACACTGTAGAATTAAATAAAGCACACGAGCACACAAATAACGAATCACCATTATCACACCACAGCCAGTCTCTCTCCACCACAACACTTTCCCATTCACAGTCTTCGCGTGGCACTGTCACCATGCAACCATCTCATCACACAGTATCACTCCACCACAACTACAGTGGTGACGCACTCCCAGTCCGCAGTGCACGCATTAAAAGGCCGTCCAACGTCGCGCATCAGACAGGTAGTGTGGTGTAATCCTCCATGTTGGAGAGCCTGCATCCCTTCACAAACACTCCTCAACGTCGTCACTTTATTTCCTTCAATATCATTCCTCCAATCAACGATAATACGCAAGGGTGTCTTACGAGCCGGTGCGTACCACTTCTCAGACGTACATTACACAGTAACGCATTACAAAGGAAGTTTAAACAGAGAACGCGTGATAGTGCTCCTCTCTCACACGTCTCATCTCGTAATAAACAAGGCGGCCCTCTCCTCCTCCTCGGACCTGCGTCCGATTCCATGCACTAGAAAACTCAATTTGTTAATCTTATATTTGCCAAAGGTATTTGTCAAGTTTTATGAGGAATGTGTTATGGAGGATTAAAATGTGATTTTTATATGATATTGTTAATATAAAATGTTGTTTCTAAAATTGCTTTGGGGGTTAATCAGAATACACAAAAGACACAAATAAGCTCTTTCAGGCCATTCAGATGCAATGCAAAACGATTTTACATACACTTCATAGGTATCGAAAGACCATACAGAAAGAAGTATTCTTTGCATTCGCATTTAAGTGATGGAATGAAAGCGCTTGTCTATATGCTGGCCATGAAAGAAAAAAAAACACGAAAAAACAAAAGTTAGCGCCTTTATGCTCGCGATCCTTCGAATGTAATTTATCATTTTACGCGCTCACAATACACGCAGTTTTCCTAGCTTTACAAACTTTTAGAAGATATACTCCACTGTTTCTCTTTAGAATAAGCCATGATCGTAAATCAATTTCTTTCTATGAGAATTAATAGAAATAAAAACAGACATTCTGAAATAAGTCATAATATCCTTCGTTAAGGAAATTCACGCAAACACAAGGAATCATCATCATTACTGTTATCATTATTGTTGCATTATGACTATATATTCGCGATCCCTGACAAGCGGTTTTACCGCGCTCCGCGCTCACAATACCAACCTTTTTTTCTGCGCTGATAAATCCCTTTCTCCCTCAAACAAATATTAATGACATCTAGTAGTTGAACCATAAAAATCATCCTCATCCCGGGGAAGAAGAAGAAGAAGAAGAAAATGAAACTGACATCTCAAGAGATATTTATGCTCGCGATTCTCGGGAAAAGGTAGTTTCCTATGCTTAATAAATCGCTATGAATATAAAACTCGTGTCGATTAAAGAAACTTTGCCGAAGAAATCAAAATCTTTCCTCATTTCATAAATCCAAAGAAAAAAAATCGTTTATTATTCTGAAATTCTTTTTATACTCGCAGTCCCTTAGATACAAATGGTTTTCCCGCGCTCTCAACATGGCGGGTGAGTCCACGTTCTCTCTCAGTGTCACAAGGAAAGCTTAGAGGACAAGCTGCTGAAATGCCTTCGCTCACGGCTGATGGTATCGTGCATTCGGCTCTTGGCCTTCAGATTGTTATACGAAGAGGCTTTTTGATACATTTATGCTTTTCATTCGAGGAGATTTGACGGCGAGAGAAGTTTCTCTCCACTTCAGTATAGGGCCCCAGCAGAATACAATTTCATCCCGTGTATGCACAACTACAGTCACTCTCACAGCATTATGCATTTTGTATTGTCACCGTTTAGGAAAAGTTGACATTTCGAGGCAGGTATGCTTGACGTCGTCTGTTTGGCGTGGAATCTGCGTGTAATTCCCTTCCCTGGGGTCGCTGGTCCTGTCATTAGCCCCTGACGCCAATGCAATCGCCTTTTCACTTGGTCTTGGAAAATGGAGGCAAACGCGGCTTTCGGGCTCGTGAGTCCACCCGATGGGCAGCTTTTGGTTTGTCTGTATTGGCCCCGCCTTTTGTTTGTCAGCAAGTGAAGAGGGAATATAATGGGGAGTCTTGAAACCAGGGGACCGTCCGGAGAGAGAAGCCAGTGCACTTCCTTTGAGAGGTGAATCGACTCTATTAGCTAAGCAAAATCACCTGCTGAAAGTGAAGGGCAGTCCGTAAATCTGCCACACTGACTTGAGCGATACTGGCTTTCTGGCGTCCGCACTTTAGCAAATGGATGAGGCTTCTGCCACATGAAGTCGAAAAGGATGACTGGTGACTTGTTTGATAAGGATCGAGTCTGCGCTCTGTCGTACCAAATGCCTGGCAGAATAGTTTGAGCTTTACCACATTGCCAAAGGCATTGAGATCATGGTGCATTCGTATTAGGGTGTGGCCACAACAAGCTCTGGTTAAGGGTACCAAGTGCAACACTTGAAAATCAAAGGAAATGGACAATGCCATCAAGAAAGTATAAAATGTGATCAGCTGCTTTGATCTCATTTACCGAGAAATGAGGAAAATGTGCACTGCACATCACAGCGTAGACTGACCCCAACACCCTCATACAGCCAGAGCTCATAATGTCTGCTTTCTATACGTTGGCAGAAAGTGCCAATGTAAGGGGTACAGGGGGCTTACCCCCCTGTCTTAGAATAAATAGGAGTTAGGAAAGGTTAGTTTTGGATTTTTGGGTTCTTATGATACCCTTGTTTTGGGACTTTGTCTCTAGAGAGTGTGTCCCTTTGGGCAACAAATGCCCAGGCTCATAACGAGAAATAATCCAGTGTAAAATAAATGACCATTTTCATCAAGGAAATGTGGCATCAACTCGTGTGTTAGAATAGAGCACAGAATTTGAGAGAATCCTAAGTCTCACAGGCTCGTTTGCTGGAACTGTTAAGAGGCTTTAAAGGAGTGCAGGTCTATAGTTACTGAGACAAGAGGGATGACGAGGCAATAATCATATTGCTTTTAATGGACTCGCATTTCATGAGGGTTGCAAGAGTGGATTATAATATATTTCATATAGATTATGGCATATTATGATATCTTGAAATTTTATAGATTATAGTTATATAATATAAAGTATATTTCAATATTACATAGATTATAATATGTTTGATGTGGGTGGCATTACTAGATTATAATATTTCCTCAAGTATTTAATCCATAGGATGAGCAAATGTAAGTCAGCCACACTTCGCTATTGCATAATGGATATCCACTGCATATTGTAAAGTTTGACCAAGTGTATTTGTAAATTTATGGATTGTAAATTGTTGTATATATAACACCTGTTTTGCTATATTTTATTCTACACATCATGCCACTCTTTTGTAGCTGACCACTGATGCTGAGGTATGATCTCCCCCCTCCCCCTCTCCCAGGGCTGTGGTTATCTTGATCGTTGGCTAAGCATTGCCTAGTGTCATAATCAGCCAGGTGAACGCATTCTTTGCTTCACCCTCCCATGACGAAAGGGTAGTGCAACATCATGTATCTGACTTGGTTATAGTTTCACACAAGGTAAACTATACCTGTAATGGATAGAACAACAGAAAATAAACTTTTCATCCTTTGCAAGTTGATATTAAGAAAGTTGTGCAACATGCAAAAAACCTAGCATATCCTAGATATACGTCAATAGGTAGATATGAAGACCTCATCATAATGAAAAGGATAAACTCAGATAAGCGGAAAGAAAAGCAAAGGAATTCGGTAATTCTTTACAAGTACGGAGGACTCGCCAGAGATTACCCCAAGTGGATTGTCCTTCTTTTATATTCTTGGACCACAAGGGAAGAATTATTATTTCAGGGCGCTGGGTGCCTAACCCCTATGGTCCCGAGCTGTACCTGTTACCACTGCACCATAGCAGCCCCACTGTGTAATAATAAAAATTGAATGCATTTCATTGAATTTTATGGACTGTAGGATCAGATACCTTAGATATTATCCCAGATACATTCACATACTTTACTGCAAAGTTTTTCAAGTTCGTAATACAAAAAAGAGTCCCGTTAAAGAAAGCAATGTCCTGGACCTTGCTAGGGAGGCTACTACTGTATGTCACAAATAGATATGCATCAGATTCTTTCTAAGGCTTGATGTGACTGCACCGTTAAGCCGATGCAATCTTGGTATCAAGAATTACCAGTTGGTATTATTCAGAATACTTGCGTGTTACATGTCACATCTTGTAGTATTAAGTACCAGTGTGAATTTCCTCTTCTAATTATTATTATTCTAATACATAATTAAAGTAATTGAGTATTAGCGGAAATAGTCACTTCCCTAATACCTCACACAAATATAAGAGTAAAACAATTAACTCCCTACCCTCATACTCCTCTATCCTATATTGGGCCCCCCATATAAAAGTTTTTAATAATAACCCTCACCCTACTAATAACAACATATAAAATAGTATAGTAATTTGTATGCGGTCTCGTAGGATGCAAAAAAAATTCAATTTATTATTGAGACTTATGGTTAAATTTTTTTATCATTTATATGTAAATAATTATATATATATATATAAAATTTATACATTTATATATAATATATATATATATATATTATATATATACTATAATAAATATATATAAATTATATAATATAAAAAATTAAAAAATACGTCAAAATTATATATTATAATTTACTATAATTATATATTTATAATATAATAATTTACTAAATAATAAATAAGTATGAAAATTGTTTTTGATAGCTGCTATACATATCTATATCCATATCAAACCTATCCACACACATAGAGTACAACATATAACTAATTTCCTGAATGTATTATAATAGTTATACTTTATTTTATTTTCAGGTGGTATCTGGGCATAGCTAAATTAGACTCCCCTCACTATAAGCTAAATTATAGTTATTGATGTTTAACTGAAAGCATCTGAATTAAGCTAGTGTAAATGTAGGATTTCATTGGTTGTGAAGTATTATAATTAATATACTATATCCCATGCATATATTAATAATATATTATATATTATAATTAAAATATCTCAAGAATAAATGATACAATGCGCTATCTACTGTCATATCTATATTAATAAAATGATGGATATAATGATTTATATATAGTGCAGTGGATACAGCAGCTGATCTCAAAGTAAGATGATTGAGTAACTAACAATTCTAAAAACCTGACAAATGTCTCAATCTATGAGTATTTGTATATATAAAGTGTAGAACAGGTATAAGATCAGGATGTTGACTTATATATAGGGTTATGAATTATCTAATGTGTTTATAGTTGTTACTGTCTATAAATATGATATACCTATATAATCTAATTTTCCTTTTAGCCCATTTTATTATAAGATATGTGAAAAATTATATTTTTTCATGTATAACAAAGAATGTGTTTATTATAATAAATCTACTAGACTTATTCACTAAAACTTAAATAAAAATAATACAATCAGCCTTTTTACATATATATATATTCTTTCTGACTTTATTATTATACGGACTCTTTATTCCCTGTAATATGTTCGGTAACTAGAGGATTTACCTATTTATTCGTTTATTTTCCAGTGTAACAAAATCTTATGTGGATATATTCAGTGGTTGTGTATTAAGATGAATAATTGTAATCATAATCAGTGTACTATTTCAGGTACTCATTACTATCCATATACTGGTACCTGCTATATACTTTTGACTAATGAATAATAAGTATTGATCGCCAGTAAGTTTGATTGTGTTATGTTCAGGTTGTGCTTCATATATATATAAAATGTCAGATATTCAATAAACTTCAGTTTGGTATGTATATGAATAATAATATATTATATATGTGGAGCTAGATTTTAATTTTATTTATTTTTGGTGGATGGTGATGAGGTAGTTTTTATTGCTTATTATATTTTATTCTACTCAAATCTACATGCAATTTTAGTATATATTTCCAAAATTATCCTTCATAAAGCATTGTATTATAAATTGTAGTAATTATGTGAATTTACAGCAGATGAAGTATTATAAATCCGAGTGTTGCTAGTGAGGATTCCATCCTGCTAACTATATACAAATTTAAATGAGACTTCACAGCAATCCCAACCTCAGAAAGATGCCACTTAAACGTGAATTTGGTTAGATAGTGTTGCATAGATTTACTGTTGCAAACAGTTTGTTGAATAGTGTTTGCTAATAAGTGTATAAAATTATGTGTAAAGTTAAATAGAAAAGACCTATTTAATTAGTAAGAAATTTTATACTATACCATGTGATTAATTTTGTCTAACAAAATAAAGTATATAATGTCTGTCCTATTGTCATTTCAGCAGGAAGGACAATAGGAAAAATCATATGAAGAGTATTATACTACTGTGATATCATCAATATTACAACCTCAGTGATGGTATAGAACTTCACCATGACGACTTCAGATTTATTGTATATATTTACTCTTGGTATAAGATGGCTGTCATCTTACATTGATGTTTGAATGATGATAAGTGAGATAGGTATTCTTTATGTTATGTATGTATATTATGACTTTTTCATACACCATTGGATCTAAAGGGTTGCTTTGTCGAGATAGATAATCATTATTCAAATATTAAGATGAACATGACTCATAAAATTGTGTGTTAGTTAGGTAAACTTGTTTGTGTGTGTATATTCGTATATAATATATATAATATATATATAATTTATATAGATGTGTGTGTATATATATATACATAATATATATAATATATACTAATATTAAATTTATAATATTATATATTTTTAATCATATTTATATATAATCTATATACTTAATACTATGATTTATAATACTTTCTATTATTATCATATAACATTATATTATCATAACATTTTAATATCTATAAATATATATTTTATTTTATCTATATACAATCTATCATATATATGTTAATACTCATATATAATTTATATATTTTCATATTATTATAATATATAATATGTTAATGGTATTTATATTAATATATAAATTATATATATTAGTACTATATATATATATACACAATAAATATACCTAAATATAACTATATATAATAAATATCCCTATATATATCATATATAAATAAATACTAAATACTATATCATATAAATAATAGTCGCGATAAATATATATACTATAATAAATTAAATTACACCTATAATCATATCCTATATAAAATTAAATACCTTTAACCCCCAACACTGCCTATAAATATATTATCATAATATAAATATATCTCTACATATAGTATTAATATAAAAAATATTCTACATATATATTATTATGAATAAATATCTACACCTATTCTTATATATCGAATAAATATTCTAAAGATATATTAATATTAAATGAAATATGCGCCCGAACATATCAATATTATATATAAATTAAATATCTAATCATATTATATTATATATAAATAAATATCCTAACTACTATATTATACTACCACAATATATAAATATATATATATACAAATAATATCATAATTAATTACATATAAATAAACATCTAAAATAACTATACATAATAATAACATCTAAATACAATATTAATATAAATAACATCTAAATAACATATACATATAACTAAATCTAAATATAATCATTACATATAACTAAATATCTTAATATAATCTACATATAACAATATCTAAATACTATATTGTATATAACTAAAATATTCTCAATATATATGTATATAACTAAATATCTAAATATATACTGTATTATAACTAAATATCTAATATATAATGTATATAAAACAAATATTAAATATATAACATAATATAAACTAATATTAAATATCATTATGTTATAAACTAAATATCTAAATATATTACTGTATATAACAAATATCTAAATATATACTGTATATAACTAAATATCTAAATATATACTGATTATATAACTAATATAAATAATATATCTGATATATAACTAAAACTATCTAAATATATATGTATATAACTAAATATCTAAATACATATTACATATAACTAAATATCTAAATATAATATTACATATAACTAAATATCTACAATATATATAATATAACTAATATCTAAAATATATTGCATAAACTAATATCTAATATTATTGCAATAAAACTAAATATCTAATATATATGTAAATACTAAATATAATAATATTGTATATTTAATATATCTATATATATTGTATATAACTAAATATTAAATATATATTGTAATACTAAATAATTAAATATATTGTATAATAAAAAATATGTATTTTCTATATAGTAAATATCTAAAATATATATTTAATAATATATATTTATATAACTAAATATGCAACGAAAAACACAATACGTGTTGATTTAACATGGGAAGGAAAAA